CAACACTAACCAGAACCTCTTCAACATTCCGGCAAAAATTAGTTTTTTTTACCCTTCACTCTTTTGTATATTTGTAACGGGATCCGGTGGTCAGGCTTGCCGAATTAGGTTGACACATGTCATTGGTTCCCAACTGCGCAGATTGATGCTCATGCTGTTGATCACTGGATTGTCTGGTTAAGACTTGACTATTTACAGACCGCCACCATATAGCTGGAATATTGCTGAGTGCGGCGTAATACTAAACTCACTCACTCATTTTTGTATATTTGCACCACATGTATTGATACATGACCTCGACAATCGCGACATGGAGAATCACAATGCTCCATGCTTATAGTGCAACCGATCTACTTGTTCTAGAAGGAGATACTATTAGTATCTCAACTGGTTATGGATAGGTGACAGTGAAGACAAATTCTTTAAAAATCTAAAATGTTTATGGTGAGATGACACTCAAAGTACAGGATTTGTGCTCTGATGTAATAGTGGTTTGATATTTGCAAGAATTACTTGTATCGTTGCACAGAATATTGTGGTGTACTGAATGTTAATGAATTATTGCACACCTACTTGGCCTCAGTGCTTATTGTTGCTGAAACATACTAACGAATACTTAATGTTACCATAGACATACGAAATGAGACTTTTAATAAGATTTATTGTTTAAAGTAACATAGTTAACTATTCTCTGAAAAATGTGTAAGAAAGATATTTTGATTTTATCCAAAGCACACCAAATATTTGTGGTCTGTTGATATTTTCAGTATATGAATACACAGCCTTATGGATAAAATGTCACTTGTGAATACAAATATTATACATGATAGAAAGCTGCCTTTTTTCAAACTGTGTGTATTTTCTTGAATGACCTCTGGGTCCATTTAGCAGTAGATTGCTAACCTTTACAAAACCTATATTGTCACAAATATCTAACTTACACTGGGGTAACTCGGGTACAAGCGTTTTAAGTATGACTTTATGTATCCACAGGTCTACCACCAAATATGTTGTTGAAGGTCAATAACAAGAAAACTCCAGGTTTGCATTTCTTTCTGACTAACGCTGATATGTTTGAGTAAAGATTATGTTTAAGCCAGCTTCAGTGTATGCATGATCAGATAGTTTCTAATTAGTTTTTGCATGGGTTTTAATAAAACAATTCCCCATCTGACATATTACATGTAACTCTTGAAACCTCAGGTTATGGTGGGGGTAGGGTGGGACGTCTGGCGTCCATGTAGTAAAAATGGACTCGATACAAGATCTGGTGAAGATTATCAATAAGTCACTGGAAAGAGTTCCTTCTGTTGCCCCACTTCTTTCTTCCGCAGATTAACAGAGGTAACACAACATGGTTCGACCTTATATGTTGTAATTGATAATAATTTGTGCTTTTAGTTTTTTTAGTGAGTTCTCTAGTAGTTGTTGTGTTAGGTTTGTCAATAATTTTAGTATACTAGGCACAAAAAGAAACTGTGCATACAAAAATTTAAAATCTAAATTTATCAAACCTGTGTAGACACATAAGGATTTAAACTCAGAGATTAGTGACATGTATCCAACATGCATGCACGTGCCACGTTCCGTGACGTCAGTGGGCTCGTCCTCAAGACGTGCAATACGTTGTTGCACGTGTATTCCGGGAAAGAGAAACAGAGCAAATGAATGCCACACAATACTGTCACTTTGGAAAGCTCAACCCCTGCCCTTGCGATCGTTCAAAAAATTAAACGGCTATTGAAACGAATAGCATGCCAAGGCTCACGTCTGCACAACGTCATGAGGCCATTGGGATGGTCCGTGGGGGAATGTCTCAACGACAAGTGGCTGCACATTTCCACTGCCACCGGAACACCATTTCTGGTGTGACCCATCTGCGCCACAGGTTTCAGACTGCAGTGATGACTGCCCGAACCATCCCAGGACTTCGCGGTATCCACCCCAACACAGTTTGACAACGTTTACGTCATCACGGGATCAGACAACGTCCCGCCATACGGCCTATCCTGACACAACGTCATTGACAAGCTCGCCGAATGTGGTGCCGAAATCATGTCCGCAGACCCTTGTTTTGGTGGAGAAATGTTGTTTTTACAGATGAGTCCAGGTTTAACATTTCCCATAGTGATGGACGTCAACGCGCCTATAGACGCGTGGGAGAACGCTATGCACAGACCTGTGTCTTGGAGAGGAATCGCTTTGGTGGTGGTTCCGGTGATGATTTGGGGGTGGAATAACAGCACGCCAAAGAACTCCTTTGGTGATTGTTCAGGGCAACTTAACTGGTGTGGGCTACAGGATCAGATTTTTTCGACCTGTGGCAATTCCTTTCTGCAACATCATGGCCCCTGGGTTAACATTCCAACAGGACAATGCCCGCCCTCATACGGCAAGGGTTGCATACGGATTTCTTGCAACACCACAACATTGACTTTCTGCCTTGGCCTGCAAATTCACCGGATCTCTCCCCGATAGAGCATGTTTGGGACGAGATGGATCGACGCTTCACGACATCTTCCTCATCAGCCAGATAACATCCTTGACCTTGCAACAGAACTTGAGAGAATCTGGCGACATCCCACAAGCCTTCCTCTTGCACGCTTGATAGGCTCTATGCGCCATCGATGCACTGCTGTTCTCATGCCGATGGTGGACATACCGTTATTGAGCTTGTGACATGGTCGTTTGACCCCTGTCCCGCTTGTGGACTCGTGACGTCATTGTGATTGACTTTTCAATTGAAATTCTCCCGACTTGTTATGGTTTCATGATCCCTCCATTAAAGTTTATATGTACCTTTGACATTGTTATCGTACTTATCAGCTGGGATAATATTTTGACAATGCACAGTTTCTTTATGTGGCTAGTATATATATTAATTCATAAATAGTATTTGGGATGGGGGAACGGGAGGAACTCTTTACCGCCTCATGTTTTCAAAATTACATAGGTGTCCATATCAATGATGATATAGGCAAACTTACTTAATTGAAGTATGGGTTTTCAGACACTTAGAAACATTCATTGTTTTCTTTCTAATCACATGAACAACTTAAAACTGTTCACTTTTTAATGAAGAACTTATCGAAAAGAATTAGACTGATATGTCATTTCATATGCTTCAATCACAAATTAAGAGGCCTCCCCTGAAATTGCATAACAGCTAATAATAGACAAGGATATTTTTATTGCATCTAAATCTTACAAGATGGATAAAGCATTGTGTTCATTTTGGGCAAACACATGAATAACTCTTCAGTACCCTAAGGATTGCTTCTGCTAGAAATCAGTCAAGTGTCAAAATGTGGCTAACTCAGTCTTGAAAATACATATTTAAAAAAAGATCATCCAGGCCAAGTCCATATTACTTGAGACAGACGAGTGCATACCCCAGTTTCTGTAAGAATTCTGTCTAATGTCGACGAATTACCAGGTTTATGGGCACAATCACTATGAGCCCAACTGAGTGCACCTTGTTATTCCGAGCTTTTGTTTTGCTCAGAGGCCACCTGCCGATACGTGGATGATCTCTGTTTTGTTTCTCTGTCACACGCTCTCCTACTTGTTTTGGAAAGACCGCTTACGACTGAAGACAAATAATAACTACCAATCACATTAAAGTTATATCGTTTCTGCGGTAATTTTAAAAGTACGACATGTATTATTGTCCAATCACATTTCAGCAAGCAATATGTGCCGCATTGCGGAAGTTTATGTTTGCATGTGACAGTGAGAATTATCGATGACACCCCTCTCTCTACGTTGGCAATTACGAACGTACTAAACAGTTTTAAACAGTACGTGAATTAGGATACGGCAATGTCAGGTGGAGGTTCGCTTCAGTTCGCCCCTTTCAGCAGCTCCCTTGATGCCGGGTTTTGGCAAAGATTGTCAGAGAACAAGCTGAATGTGTATGGTTTGGATGAAGCACCCAAAACTATTCATGGATTTTACTTCAATGGTAAGTGATAAAGTCTATGATGACAAGACGCACTTGGTCGGAAAGAAAGAGAATTGGAACCTGATTATCTTATATTTTACTTCTTTATCATCATGATCATTGTTAATAAAATGAAGATTTACATATTCAATCACTAAGAATTTGTGCCTACTCATGTTTGTATATAAAGACAAAAATAGATTCCACTCACTGTCAATGTGATAAATAAATCCAGAAGTTGTTATCCATAAGATTTGTTTTGTATCACTCACTGTCATCAACAGGGCCAGTAAATGATTGAAGTGCATGTAAAATGTCGAGGGCTGTTGATGTGTGTTTCTTCTTACACTGAACAACATACACAGGGCATATGTTACTGTTTCATCACTGATACTAGTATCAGGGATGGCAATTTTCCGCTGATTTTTTCAAATTGTTCAATTGTGAATCGCCTAAATCCATTGAGAAACCCTCAACTCGGGATGACACAATATTACGTTTTCAGCTGAAAATAGATTTTCCTGTTGCCATCCCTGTAGTAGAGTGTAAAGGCAGAACCACAGCAAATATAAACATGGTCAACATGAAAAGATACAGCAGTACCAAAATATATGAATACATAATACATTAGAGAAATTGGCCAAACGGATGAAAATAGTGTTTTTTTTTTCTGTCGGGCAAGCAAAATTGTATATCAAACTGAACTGGTGTCCAGTTGACTTTGCAATATTAATTATGTTGGTTTTTTTTAAATCAACAAGAAAACGGCCGGTATAGTGGACAAATTATCAGGGCAAGTGATTTTACATGTGCCACTGTACCGGAGTACACTAGCAGCTTTAAAGTTATTTCCACCCCTGCCAAATCTAACATAAGTTATAGCTGGGCTTAACACTTTCTCAGTAAAATATGGATTCTTGTACATTTTGGGGTTGAGTCCCATCCAGAATTTGAACCCACACTTTCAGAGTGAGGCATCTAATCACCAGCACACGGTTAATGTTTTAACCATGGCAACAAAATATATTACATGAGTTGATTTATGTTTCAGGGATCCAGCAGGAATAGCTCCTCGATTGTCTGTGGACTTTACAGCTTTTTGACAGGTATACAAGATGTGTTGTGTCCCCATTGTTATCATATTCAAGTATATATATTGTTAGTTTTGTATTGACAAGAGCTACAAATATAAAAGCAATCTAGTAAAGTTTACGGGTAATCATGATAATATATTGATGGCTGACCTACACATCAGACAAATCTGTATATTTTATGAATGCTTCATTATCTTCCCAAATTGATTTAAGAGAAAAAGGAAGGTCCTATTTTTTAAGGTCTCTCAGTGTGTTTATTATTGATTATCTGTGAAGCTATGAAAGTTTGGGATACAGGGGGAAGAATAAAGGTCTTCGGCACATCTTGCTTGTCTTAAGGGATTTCTAAGATGAGGAGCCAGGAAATTACTTTTTTTCTAGTGAATGGAAGACGCCACCTCGATGTCTTCCCAGCAAGGGCTCTATCCAGAACACAAATACACTGGAAAAATTCAAGGAATGCGACAAGAAAGAGTTACTTGAAACTGCAGGGAAGCAGGTATGTTTCATTATAGGGCTCTTTAGTTACACAGGTTATACATCTGCAAAATAGTCACTTTAGTTTTGATGAATTATTAACATTATTCTTACAAGCAAAACATGTACAAAATTCTCACAGGCTTGTGAACCAAATATTATCTGATTACGATTCCTATCAGTGAATCAATGTTGATTTGTTTCAGATCTGGGATGACATAATTAGTGGCAGAGCCGTGAGATGATCCTTCACTCCTGTCCAGATTTCTTCTTCCACTCATGCTGTAAGTGATGATGTTCATGTTGTCGCTGGTGTTGTTGTTGATGATGACTCAGTGGTTATCTCCAGTGAGTGAGTGAGTGAGTTTGGTTTTATGTCGCTTTTAGCAATATTCTAGCAATATCACAGCTGGGACACCAGAAATGGGCATCACTCATTGTATTCATGGGGAATCGAACCCGGTCTTCAGCATGACAAGTGGACACCTAAACCATTAGGCTACCCCCACCTGGTGTTGAAGATGAAGACACATTATTCCAGAGAGTGTATCAGTCCCTTATTCTACCTCACCCTGAATCCACTAAGCAGTGAATGGGTACCTGGTAGGATTAGATGCTTATGTGAAAGCAAACCTTTCAGTGCTTAACAGGCAATTATCCTCAGGCAGAGTTGTATAACGCCCACCAGAGCAGGGAATATAAAATATCTGTTAACAGGAGTATTATGTTCTGGAGCATAATTCTGCCAGGAACCTAGTGCTATAAGTTTGCAATCATGTGTATATTGTTAACTGCAGCAGGTTGTGCCAGGAAAGATGTTTTTATACCCCATGTAAATTACATTTTCAGGATCTGAAGAAATACAACTACTACTACTGGTTTGCATTCCCATGTCTGACAGCACCAGAAAACACAGTCTCCTCCGCACCCAAGGCTCTGGATGGCAGGTTCTCACCAGAACAGGTACTGGCTATGCTCCCAGTGGGGATTCTTGGTTAGAATTGGTCCGTAAAATAATCTTATTATTATTATAGGATATTTATACAGCGCACATATCCACTCTTTAGTTCATGCTCAAGGTTCTGGTATTTCTTCCTTGATCATTGGATGTCAGTCTCAATGGCCCATCTTATTAATTATCAATATACCCATGAAGATCTGGGGTAGAATAGGTCTTCAGCAACACATGCTTGCCACAAAACAGCTTAATTATGCTTGTCGAAGAGGCGACTAACGGATCGGGTGGTCAGGCTCGCTGACTTGGTTGACACATGTCATCGGGTTCCCAATTGGCGCAGATTCGATGTTCATGATGTTGATCACTGGATTGTCTGGTTCAGACTCGATTATTTACAGACCACCGCCATATAGCTGGAATATTGCTGAGTGCGGCGTAAATCTAAACGGATTCGTGTGTTCTTTTAAGTGCACTGGGTTGTGTACTGTACACTAAGGGTATTAACAACACTGAAAGAGTCTGCACACAAAGTTGACTCCAAGGTTTATACACCCGGTCACAGGTGGGCTCGATCCCGGCACCTCATGCTCGCTGGATCACTAGCCTGGCGCCTTAGCCAGCTCGCCCACCACGCCCCTAAGACTAACTGGATTGGGTGGTCAGGTTCTTAGTTAAGTTATGTTTGTTTGTTATTTAACACCGCAATCAGCAATATTGCAGGTATATGGCGGCGGTCTGTAAATAATCAATTCTGGACCAGACAATCCAGTGATCAACATCATGAGCATCGATCTATGCAGTTGGGATGCGATGACATGTATCAACCAAGTCAGCGAAGTCCGACTTCACCCAATCAATTTAGTCAGCCTCTTACAAAAGCATGGGTTACTGAGGACCACTTCTAACCTAGATCTTCATAGGTTTGCATCCACGTCAGGGAGTGGTCTAATAACATAGAAATCTAACAGTATGTTATTTAGAACTGGTGAGATATTGTATGTGCACATGCATATGTTTTAAACATTTGTTAACTGTTACAAGTTGAACCAGTTTGATATACAGGGTGTATCAGGTGTATGTTTCCTTTACAGGTGAAGTCTTTTCTGACCTCGTACGATGCCTTCCAGGCAGGTAGAGACTGTTTTCAGGGGTTCTTCACCGTCAGGGAGTCGGGGGATGCTGTGCTGGTTCAGGAATTGAAAACACTCAGTGTCACAGACATAGAAAAGGTAAAGAATGGTAAAATATAATGAACTTCATGTACAAAGGTTGACTGATAATATTATAAGTAAAACATGGGTTCACCTCTTAGCCAAACAACAATCTGCAAGTACTTAATCATTGCATGTTTGCCCTATGTTGAAAGGTCAAAGGTTAACGGTCAATGACCCCCTGCTTCAATTACACAGCAAAACAATTTGCATGGTTTTGTTGATATCCCTCTATGACGCCATGTATTGTCCACAATGAAATATTTAGCTTTATTAAATGCCTTTGTATGTTAGAACTTTTGTAAACAGCCTTTTCATCTTGCATATTCTTGCTAAAACCAGTTGAAGTTCATGTACTTTTAAGAACCAGTATATAGTGTAAGAAAAGAATTAGGTTTGTATGTTTATCCTCTGCAAGTACATACTCGCTGTTTGTCCAGGGAAGGTGATGTTTGGCTTCAGACCCCTGTACCCTGGATAAACATCCTGGCTGGTCAGCCTCCGCAACTTCCTAACTCTCATAGCTCATAGATGGTGAGTAGTAATATGGAATTTATTGATGACCCCCACCCACCCAGAACAAAACGGGTGAGAGACATATCGCACCCATGCATGCATGCACGTAACTTTCTTTTGAAGTTAGGCACATTACCAGTGTATGAAATAAGGCCCGTCCGGACAGACTGGATACTGGCTAGATTTCTGACGGACGGTCTCAAATTTATAGCTAGCCAGCCCGCATGGTCTGGTCAAAAGTTTAGATGTTCCATACATCTGGAGCAAATTCACCATATCTTGGTGTCTGGTCTGGTTAATCCATTTTGGGCTGGTAACATTTTGAAGTTACCAGCCCAGCTGTCTGGAGTGGATTTTTAGCTTATTCCATACACTAGAGAAAAGGAAAAGCAAGATTTATGGATGTGAACTTCTTGTGAATAACACGACCTTCGGAGTCTATGCTTGCTCCTTCCATCAGATCCACTCCAAAATGTCGCGGTTGTTCACAATGAAGAACTTGACATCCATAAATGTCGCTTTATGCATTCCCACTTGTTAATGCCTTCAAAGATTTGGCACATAACACATTGTTCCTCAAGAGATTGCCATTCAAGAAGCCAAATGTGTATGATTGCATCAATGAAAAAAAGCTCAATTTAATCTCATATTTGAAGAACCAAAAGTCAAATATT